GGAAGCCTAACAGAAAAGCAAGATGCATGGAAGCAGTGCTGGGCATCCAGCCCAACTCTAAGTGATGTTCAGCACTGCTCGCAGCAGCCAGCAGCTAATTCCGACATGAACGCTGCTCGGTTACCCAGACAGAGACAGACTGCAGGAGGATGTGCTCTAGCGAGGGGAGAGGTTTAGCACCAACAGGACTGTAATCTGGCCCCTCTGCAGAGTGACTCCAACTACAGACTTACTGAGCCCAGTTCTCAACAGGTTTGATCCTGCTTTTCTTTCTCCTCAGGCCAAGGATGTCTAATCGTAATTGTCTGTTCCTACAGCATTCTCTGCATCAGAACAATAATTCACCATGAAACTGAGATCTCAGGGAAGGCTTGCACAGCAATTGCAGCACTTTAGGGATACCTGCAATAGAAGTTGGGAGCTGCAAGAGCTCAGTTCCCAAGAGACTACGGTCACACATCTTTTTCTGGCACCTCTGCTTCCCTGGCTTCCGCTCAGGCTTGAGGGAGATCTGTATCACTACTCTCCTGAAGGCAGAAGTCGCGCTGAGTGCCAAAGTAGCCTGGCTGTGCTGCACGACCCAGCAGGGGTTTTCTCTGCCCTAGGCCATGCTGGAGTTTGAGGAACATTGCCGTATCGTCTGGGCTTTGCAGAGGTCACACACTGCACAATCACTGCTGTTAATAATGCCCAGTTTGGAACAGCTACATCACAAGTGCCTCAGAGGTTCCTACACTCCATTTTTTATCTTATCAACAGAGCATGTCTGCTCTTTTTCAAAAATGTGGCCGGGAGGAGATGAAACAACATTTCCTTCTTTCCCACCTGTAGGAATGCTGTGGGTGTTGGGGAGGTGCAGGTTCACAACAATCAAAGCTCAGTATTCTGCTAAACCAGAGGTTGTCCCCCGGAATGAATGTCCCATCCACAAAAGCCACGACCAGCAGTTCTTTCCTTTCTCTCGGATTTTAAGAAACGCAAGGAATGTCAGCAGCAACCGTAATCACAGCACAGACCGAACAACGCCACTCAGAGCAGAGTGCCCATCTACCCAGCTGAGGACGAAGCTCTAATTTACACTTGGCATGTACCTGGAAGGAGGAAGATTTCTGCTGTCACTTAACTCAGCAAAGAACACCCCAGAACCCTGGCAGGAGCACTGCGTTACCATCTACATTTTCTGCAGAGTATCAGTGATTTGTCACTCGCTTATTTATCGTCGTAACACTCGAGCAGCTTTTCCCCAGGAACTACCAACCCAGGCCTGTCAGACACACTGTGACATGAGCTCCCTGCACAGCACTGTCATCAAGGAGCAAAGCATTACTCAGCACGTACCTATGCACACACCGAGGCGTCTGGCATCGCCGCCCAGCATTACGTTTCTCTGTACCTCTAGGGGATGGTCAGGGCTTGAGCTAAGCAGAGGTTGTACTGCTCTCTGAGCTTCTGCAACCTGCTAGCAGCCCTGAGATGCCAGGAGCTGGAAATCACTGTTGCCATTAACAGCTGGCAGACTCCTTGGGGAGGTGTTCCCCCTGTGCAGGCCTAAGGGAACACGATGGAGGCTGGGATTCGCTACTCAAGTGGCCGGGGAAGGATCTCAGCCACACACCCGCGGTACTAGTTGAGCAGAGACATGTTTTCATTCTTTAATCATGGGTTGAAAGGAGCACAATGCTAGTTTTAAGGTGAATGAAGAAAACTCTACAAACAGGGAATTTCAGGGGAACTGCAGGGAACCTGTACCCCCCTCAGCTTCCCACCTTCCCAGATAAATCACTTCCGACAGGAAAGGAGTTGCTCCATCTCTGGCCATTTCCTGGTGACCATGTGTGTGTGCTGCAAGCTCAGCAATGCGGCAGGCGCCGTGGCCAGCCCTCTGCGGAAAGCTGAGCTGTGCTGAGCTGCAGCCACTTCCCCCCCTGCTCACAGCAGTGAGCAGTGCTAGTGTTGCCCGTACATACTCATGGGAGGGCACGGCCTTTTCTGTGGGAGAGCGGGTCTGCATGGCGGCAGCTGGCAGTTCCAAAAGTTGTGCCAGGGCCTAAATGCCCTTTACTGATGGGAAAGGCCTCTGACCCGTTGTTGCTCTGCAGCCCTTCTACTGCTCTGACCAGATAAACCCGCAGCCAAATCCCACGTAGAAGCCTCGCTTTTAGCAGCTTCACCTGCAAAGTGGAGGGAGATTTGAAAAGACTTTGGCAGTATTGCAGAGGTACAGACCTCCCTTCTTCCCCCTTTGTATCTTCACCCAATACCATCTGTTTTTATGAGAGTACAGCCTTAGCTACATTCATCCTACTGACCGTCGCTAAGCTCGTGGCACGTGCAGTGCCCACAGGCTGTCTGTGCTGCAAGGCCAGGTAGGCACTTCATACTATCATCCGCTTCCTGATTTTTTGCAGCGTATCACAACAGAGGTGCAGCTTCATTGTCTGCTTACTAGTTCACCTTCCAAGCCCCTTTTGCAAAGCCATTGATCCGTTATAGCAGAGGATGAACCCCTGGATAATGCTAGCAAGTCTTACAGCACCGAGGCATGCTCTGCACTACCTGTGTCGCGCCACCGGTGCACAGGCCTTTGGAGCACATACTGCCCTGTGTCTCTGCCTCGACCTCACTAGTTCCCAGGGCCAGAAAGTCAGCAGAGGCCAGTGCATAAATCCCCTGTGGAGTTGGTAGGCCTGCTGGCAGGTGAACAGAGGTATTGGGGGTAACAAGGCTGTAGAAGGCCGCAGCAGATGTGTGTGCAGGTGATGAGGTTGTATAAAACCTGTAGGGCTGGAAGAAGACTTTCTGGGTGTAAAATCCCTGGGCTCAGTTCTCTCTGACACCTAGTTCTGCAATACCGCCTTTAGAGAAAGAGAGTCCTACGGAGGGGTTAGGGCAGGTTGCTTGCTCATCTGAAGAACGTGGGCCATGAGGCTCCTAACCACTGTTTCTTTCCCCCAGGAAAACCTGCAGAAGCTGGTGCACATCGAGCACAGCGTGCGAGGGCAGAGCGGCCTCCTCCAGCCTGGAAGGGTGAGTGCTGCAGGCAGAGCTGGCTGCTAAGGGCATTGTTTCAGTCAGCCGGATCTCTTGGGGGGGGGCTGGCCAGATTGCACCCATCCACACATGCTGTTTACTGAGCTACTGTGGTAAGAGTTGGAGTCAGTGTGTCACAAAGCCATCACTCTGGCAGTGGCACAAGGATGTGCCACGAGCCTCCGGCTGGGAGAGACATGCCTTGCCCCTGCTCTCACGCCATGGGTTTTGATGGACCTGCTTTTCCCTCCCTGTATGCTCCTGTGGAGAGGTGGCACCACTATCAGGTATTGCTTGCAGCCTGGAAAGACCCAGTGTGTTATTTGGCTGGGTAAGAGCCTTAAATCGGGAGAAATGGTTTGTTTTCAAATGTTTATTCTCCCCCTTCCCCAGTAGTGCTTGTCAAGCACGACAACATTCGTAAGCAACCCATGACCAGAAAGGTGGGAGAGTGTGTTGCTCTATCTTGGCACTGACATCAGATGCAGATTTCCTCTCCTGGCTTTCAAACCTGTCTGCTTTCCCTGCTTCAACCTGCCTCTACACTGCAAAAGATTACTCTCTCAAGTTCTGCAACCCTACATTCCCTTCAGTCCAGCAGTACCTTTAGCAAAACTCATGGAAGCCACTGTCAAAGCACGTGTACTTGTAGCCCAAGGATCCTCAGCAGCCACACCCTGCAGTCAACCTCCCCTTTTCTCTACCATCCGCACTCTCACTTGCCCTTGCCAAGTAAAGCCTCACCAGATTCTGCCAAGCCCCTCACACAGAATTTCCTAGATTGCTCTTTGATTACAAATTGCTCGAGTGAAAAACTACACCCAATTCTGTTCTCCAGCCAAAGCAGGGATGACTGTTGAGCCACTGATGTAGTTCATTACTGCAGCCCTTTCCAGGAGTTACGCAATCAAGTTCTAGTATGCTACCTTGGTTGCTGCCGTGCACAGTGCTACTACAGGCAGTAACAGTGTGGACCGACCAAGTGCTGGGTGTGCCAACACGTGCAGGTTCTGAACGCAGGCACATGGATGCATGCCGCTGAAAGCCCAGCCTTTTGGTTTGTGTAGTTGCGAGGATTTTTATAGAGCAGAGTCCTTTTCTAAGGCCAGTTACCCATTAGCTCTGCGACCTGTGCGGGTCACAGCTGAGCACAGCCCATGGGGCAGCAGCAGTGAGCTGAGGACAAGCAGGTTTCCCACCCGTGTGGTTCACGCCGAGCAGCAGGGCGGACCCAGATGCAGCCTAAGCCAGAGAAGGAGAAGGGCTAGAAACAAAGGCTAGGGTCTCTAGTCCTGTGCTGCTGAAAGCTGTTAGCATACCTCCTTCCCAGGAGGAACATTCTCCTTCCTCCGTAAGATTGAGAATGAGGAGTCTCCGCCTTAAAACCTGCTGTTTTCTCCTCCAGGTCTTTGTTAAAGAGGGAACGCTGATGAAAGTCTCTGGCAAAACCAGGCAGCCTCGGCATTTGTTCTTGGTAAGGTTTTGTTTACATTTTCACTGTCTCGTGTCTTCTGCACTCACGTGGCCCTGAACTCTGGCACAAACCTTCCGGCTGCAGGTCATTTAGCCACCAGCCGCGATGCGGTGAGTCTGCTGCTGCGTCTCACGCACGGCCCATCAGCCCTGCATGCAGGAGCACGTGACGCAGCTACCTGCAGCTCTGACCAGGCCTTAGTTCTGCAAGGAAGCTCAGGAGCGCGACAGCTCCGGAACGCTTTCAGCAATTAAGCTTCACACTTGACAGTCCAACCCCAAGACGTTAGGAGATGTGATTAGAAGCAACAGCGAACACCCTAGTGCTGAAGTCCATGCAAGCTTTCTTGGGACTCGCTCAGGAGAGACTGGTATCCCTGAGGCTCAAAGTCTGTCTTAGTACCTGCTGACCAGGTGTGTGCAAACTGCCCGCCCACCGTGCCCTGCCTTGCTGTAGTCCCACACCTCCAGCCTCCTCCTGCTCACAGCAACACTTCTCAGTGATGGTTTGCCAAATTCCTCTAAGACGGGTAAGGCGAATGAATCCCTCACCAGTTGGCTGAAATACCCTTTGCCGTGTGACGTAGCCCAGCGTGGCTGCATCCGCTGGCATGTCCCAGGAGGCTGACAGCATGGCTGGCACAAGGCAAGCACAGAAATTACTTTCTGGCACTGTCCAGTTTAGGAACCATTTCTGATTCCCGGGAGGAGTTCAGTTGCTCAATCTGGGTGTTAACTGCCAAGAGAGAAGTGTCTCTTGGCAGCTGGGGGCACTGCAGGAGCCAAGGTCGTCCTGTTCAGAGATGCTCTTGGTATTCAGAAACAGTGGGTGTCTTCTTGCAGTCCAGCAGACAGACTGTGACCGCACGTGCTGTCATGCAGAGTATGTGCTGAGCAGGACTGAGCCACAGAGCTCCCTCTCCAGAACCAAGAGACACACCAACTGACTTCCTGCCAACTCTAACACACTCACCACCCCCTCAGGCTTCCTGTATGAGGACTCCTGTTGAGGTGGGGCCAGGGCGATGGCATCTCCAAACCCTTTGGAACTTAGTGGCAAGTATCTGCCTTTGGATTCAGAGCTTTTCTTACTCGGGCCCCTCCACCCTGAAAGTTCCTGGGGTTGCAGAGCAATGGCCTGCATGGTGAAACCGCAGGAAAGGGAGTCTGTGGAACAGTAACTCCTGCACTGACACTGGAATGGGTTTGCTCTGCCTGGTCCTCCCGGTTAATGCTGTGCAATCCCTGCTGTGCTGCCACCACTCACACATCGCTTAATAGACTGTTTAGCTGGTGGGTGGATGAAGACAACTCCTGCGTAGCTATGGCAACTACTTCCATCTTGGCATATGGCATCTTTACTGCATCGCTCTTAAGGCCCTACCAGCCATCCCTGCCCTGTCATAAAAGCCAAAGCCTGCATGACCATACCCTGCCCTCTGCCAGTGCAGCTACCCCAGCCCTTGTGCTGTTGTGTGTCTAGTGCCTGAGGACACTGTGTGGAAAGAACCCAAACCCACAAGACCCCATGACGAGAATAATCTAAACACTCTCTCCTAAAGCCCGCACATATTTAAAGGCCTTATCTTCTGAGGACCGTATCATAATCCTTCACAGCCGCTGGCCAAACTCAGGGAGGATAAGAGTTTGTCCTAATGTACTAACCCAACAAAGACTTTTTCCAACGGGCTTTTGTTCGGATGGTTCACGTCAGCTGCCACTCAGAGAAGATCCCCAGAAGCTGACATGTACAGCTGTGATCCGGTTTTGCTCTGGATGAAATCAGTGTTTACCTTAGCTACCTGAAACGGATTTATACAGGAACAGCAGTGAGTTCTCTGTGGTGAACTGACTCTGCCTGGAGCCACGTCAAACCCAGGACCTGGGGAGAATGTCTGTGGACAAGTGCAGTCAGAAGGATATCTCTGAGAATCTAATGCTTGCACATCCCAGGAGATGAGCCCACCAAGCTAAAGCTGTAGTTACACTAGGCTATAGAGATTGGGTCCTCCTTGGCCTGCGCGTTCAGGGTGAGCTTGGGTGCTGTGTGTGCTTGTGCTCCGCATACAGGTCCACAGAAGCGCTGTCTGTCTGTCTGTGCATGGCCCCCCAGGCACGAGTGCCCAGCTTTGGGGCTGGATGTGCCTGTGTTCTGCGGGTGTACGCTGAGCGTATCATGAGGTTACTCAAGCTGGCTGGTCCGTGCAGGCTGATGGTACTGCTGAATGGGGTGTTTCCTGGCAGGATGTTTGGTGAGTTTTGCTGTGCGCCTGTTTCCTGAGTCCAGCCTCTGTTTACGAGGATGTTGGGGCCTCTTTGCGGCACAGTATGGGCTGCTGACAACGACAGGCCCCCTAACTGCCCCCCAACCACAGCACTGTGCAACTCACACACTGTCTCTTATCTCACTCTTCCAAGAATTCCTCTACAAAGGCTGCTTGTGTTGCAAGTGGGGTGCGGGGAGCTGCTATCAAACAGGAGACTGTTCAGTGCTCTAGCTGGCAGGGCTGGATATAGGAGGTTTGGGAGTCAGAGCCTGGAAAATGCATCCCCAGCATACATTCAGGCTGCTCCACTGTTACTGAGAGGATGTGGAATGCAGGCTCAGAGCAACCCCGGGTTCATAAGGCACTACCCTGTAAAAGGTTTGGGAAAACCCAACACGTGGTAGGAGCCCTGAGACAGAGAATGCATTATGTATGGATGCCAGGAGTTCAACAGGGCATCAACAAACTTGTTTGGATTGAGAAACTGGAGCACGGTAGGTTCGAAAACTTGCACTGACCTCCCGTGTCACTGGGTTCCCATCACAACAGAGCAGAGTATAAAAGGAAGGGGGGAAGGAAAGCAGTAACGGGAAGAAAGGAAATGAAAGAGCAGACATGTCCTTCCTTCTCTGTGTTACCAGTTGTGCTCTGGGGGACTGTAGGTGTGCACGGAGCAGCGCAGAACATCTGCTCCCATATCAACTGCCGAGCAGCTGGGGATGACAATGATTCCAAAGTTTTCTGGAAAACAGGAAGTAGGTCTGAAGCATGAGGACTTCTGGAGATGCCCTGGGGTTGTGGCACTTGATCTCTTCTGCCACAGACTCCCGAGGTCTGCAAGATGGATTTCGATCATGGCCCAGTGCCCGCTGCTCCAGGGCATGGTGTGCAGCGTGCAGCAGGAGGATCAGCTCTGCCCGTGCCACTCACAGGATGAGCACGTGGTCGCAAGTGTGGAGGTGGCAAAGGGCACAGCAGCAGGTGCAAACCCTTTCTTTCTTCCTTCACCTATGTGCCTGGCTTAGGAAGCTCTGCAACATTTCTCCTAACTCCTTCGTTAAGCTGTGGCAGGTAGGAGCTCAGGACTCACAGCCCATCACCACACACTATGGGGGAGAAAAACGGGAGGAGGAAAAATCCTCCAGCACACAATTACAAAGCAAAGTCATCACTAACGTGCAGTAAAACCTTGGGACATCAACCAGTTGTCATGGCAACACTATGCACCAGGGCATCATTCATAATCGACAGTAGTAAGAGAATGAGCTGTTTTTCAAAGGGATACCTGACTTTTAGAAGAAATAAAACACACAGGGTTTGCTGTTCAGGCAACCCAGTAGAACATTACACCAGAATCCTGAAGATCCCTCTTCAGAGGTCACTTTCCTGAGCTCAGTGCCCATGACTAGCTTCCTTCTCTGTGGTCTGAAAGAAGCCAGAAGTACTGGCACGATGAGTGGCAGAGGAAGTCCGGTCCCATTGGGTCATACAACCCTCTGAACATGCAGCAGACAGCAGAATCACCAGGCAGAGCTTTCACTGGTGCTCTCTTACTGCACAGAGTAGGCTCTTGGCCTTAGCAATACAACCCGCCTGCTTCTTGCCCTTTTCCCACCTGGCTGCCTGAGGCCCAGTGGCTACCAGGACGATCAAGTGAAACCAGCTGGCACTTGCTTTTCACTCCCAGGCTATATGTGCTCGGGTTCTCCTCCCTTCACCTCCCCAGTACTCGGCATGCAGGAGGGTGTGATGAGTGTCCTGGCTGGTGTCGCCCTGTCAAAGCAGAAATCACCATGTAGTCAGCGCTGTGCAGGGGTCACTGTGCTGACTGGATCAACGTTAGCATGGAGGGCAATGTATGGAGCAGTAGATAAATCATGGAGAAACTCTGTGACACACCACCTGTAACCCTGGTCGAAGGAAATTCTGTTGGGTTGTTGCAAAAGAGCAAATACTCCAGAGGAAAGAAGCTGAGACTCCTATTCTGCCCTAGGCTTCTCTGCCCTCAGCAGGGAAGTATTATATTGCAAGAGCCTTAAACTCCACCTGAGTGAAGACTTCGCAGTACACAGAAATACCCAGCGGCCTGGCCAAGGTGGGAGGGCATGGGAAGCTTTGTGAAAACGTTTCAGCATTTGCTACAAAAATACTGGCTGCTGCTGCTCAGTAAAGTCAATCCAATTCTTAAAAGTAGTAAAGTTTGAAGTACAAGTTCTGGGGAAAGTCACTCCAGTACATTTGGCCTCATATTAATGGGAATCTGCATTTTACAGACAGGCAGCTCACACTCACAAACCTGATGTGCAGAGAGTCAAACAGCTACGTACTGAACGAGTCCAGGAATGAGCTCCTGACCCTCATAAAGTCACCAACAGTTCTGCTGCTAAGCCCGAGGTGATAAGGATCCCATCCCATAAGTACTAGTTCCATGTCACTTTTCTGTAACCATGGCTCCTGCCCTGTAAGACAGCTATCACCTTTTAAGAAAACATCCAAAAGGCTCCACTTTCCATGTTTTTCCAGGCAAACAAATGAGTGACAATTTGACACCAGCACGTTCAGGAGGTGAGGCAGCACTACCAAGACCCCAGCCATTCCCTCCATACAGGAAACATTATTGCATTGCCAAATCATTCTGAAGCTTCCTCCCTTCTTCTCTGCATCTGTCACAGCGTTCCTTCCAAAAGGCAGTATCATTACCATCCCACTGGCTACACTCAAATGTCCCTGTCCCGGAGCAGTCCAAGTGAAGCTGGGTTACATTTACTTTCCAGCTTCTGGAGAACTGCTGCATTGAAGACGCCTTGTCTCTGGCCTCTTGCAGCGCTACCAGTGCCTGGGTTTCACACTGCCATGCCCACCTTTGCTTACGGTCCCCATCCCAGTGCAGTAATCAAGGGCCTGACAGGGTTGTGCATCTGGTACTGGTGTGAGAGGCCGGGAAGGACAGCCAGAGAACATCCTGTTCCTTCAAGCAACGTGAAGCACACATGCACATAGGCCTTACCATGGCAATGTTAAGGCTCCCCCGATACTGCTATTCCTTCTAGTGGCAAGGGAAGGAGAGGCCAGTGGAGACCTACAAGGTCCAGTTCTGTTGGTTGATCTATTTGTTTGTGGGCACGAAGGTAAAAGGGTGCAGTACCGCCTGTGATTAAGTTAGGCAGACAGCAGAGATCTGACTCCTTTTAACACAAAGCTGTTTGAAGAACACGCGCTCTGCACGGAGCTGCGAGAACTGTGGGGTGTTAACGGACAGATTTTTCCCCCATAAAATGAAAAACGGTTTCTCCCGTTTGCCCTGCTGCGGTCTCTGGTGCAGCCTGCAGACTCAGTCAGTGCTCAGGTGCCTAGGTGAGCTTTGCTGGCAGTGAAGCACGGGTAGTGCTCGCAAAGGCCCAAACCCCTCCTCCCTGAAGCATTCCTCCAGACTCTGGCACTGCTCCTCACCTGCCCTGTGGCTTCTGCCCGCAACGGCCAGCTCTAGCCCTGGCCTTGCCGCAGCTCCACTGCCGGGGATCCCTGTGGGAGTCAGAGCTGCAGCATCCCGGGCAGTTACCTGGCATTGCCAGGTAGCAAACGCAGGGTCTGCCTTCCTGCCCTGAACATGGCAGTGCCCTGCAAACAAGCAGCTGCTTCAGCCAAGCTGAATAAGGAAGCACTGATTACCTACTTGCTTAGCCATTAGCAACAGCCCAAAATGGGAAAAGACCAACGTCCGGGATGCAGACTCCACAGTTATGTGGAAATGCAGGTCTCCATCCAAGCTGTGCGGCTTGGAGCTGCCTGCAGTAGCAGACCTAGCATTTCATCATGCCACTGCTTGCTCTGGCTGGCTCCCAGGGTAAGGGGCAGGCCTGCATGACATACTGCACATGATTGATCTTGGCCTTCTCTTTACACAGATGAGTGATGTTCTGCTGTACACATATCCCCAGAAGGATGGGAAATACCGACTGAAGAACACCTTGGCTGTGTCAGGCATGAAGGTACTCCTTCATCTGCTTTACAGGCTGGAATTGAAATTGTGGAGTGGGCTGTGGGTGCTTTGCTGGCTTCTGTCTCATGTCCAGCACAGGAACAGAGGGGATGGACCTGTTATCAGGGGATTCCCTTGTCTCCTACAGGAGACAGAATAAAAAACAATATAAAGCAGACCTGTAAGAGGTTATCTATAAGGCTGTGAGTTAGTATGACAGCCTTGCACAGGCTGTGTAAATAAGACCGGCCAAGATCAGATTTACCATGTGATCATGAAACTGGAGACACAAAAACTTTATTTTCCCCCTTTGTCCAATGCTCTCTTCCTGTCTCCAGACAATGCACGGCTGTTCCCTACATGTTCACTAGGGCTCAGGCCGCCTGGCTTTAAATCCTGCCACTCAGTATTTACATAAGCTCGTGGTTGCCAGCTGTGCACATGCCCTGTGGCTGTTTCTGTCAACAGCATCTGTGGGTTCAAAAAGCGATCAGCCAACCTGATGGGGAAAAGGTATCTGGGGAGCTATTCCATGCCACGATAAACACACAGTCTCTTCTCCAGTCAAAACCCTGCCTGCCCAGCGCTGCGCTGAAACATGAACAGGCGGCACTGAGACGTGCACAGTGTTCTGGCTCCAGACAACTTCCCTCACGTCCCCATTCATGTTCATGGAATTTGTTTCCAGGTCAGCCGTCCAGTGACAGAAAAAGCCCCGAACGTCCTGAAGATCGAATATGGTGATTACTGCCTGACCCTGTCAGCAAGGTACTGTCCCCAAACAGCAATGGCCCAGGGTGTTACATTTTACAGTGCTCTCTCTAGATTAGTCTAACCAACCCGTAAGATGTAACTGGTGCCTCGTTCTTGTTTAACTCCATTTGAGAGTCAAGGCCCGAGGGCCTGATCATGCAGTGAAGACCCTCAGTGTAAATGCGAAGCCTGTACGTGGTCATTCAGCTCACATACCGAGAACAGCCTACAGGTCTGCTCTCGGGAACTTCTTACAGAGAAAGGAAAGAGAAGGAAGTCTGTCACTAAGAAACCTTTCCATTGAGAGTCATTCCCATTATCCTTCACACTTGTGCCCTGTGACACTAAGATGTTATAGCTCCCTTTTTTAAGGTCACTTGTCACCTCATACCACTTGGCTTGCAAACCTGCAGGAGAAAACCGTAACTAGGTAACGCCATGCAAGAGATAGAAAAGCATTTAACAGTGCTTACATGAAAAAGCCAGAATCAAACCTTACAGGCAACCTCAGGGGCCAGTAGAGTTCCCTACCTTACACACAGGAACACAGCAGAGTTGAGGCAGTGGGGTTGGCATCCCTAGCGAGACGCCGGGCACTTTCTGCTTGCATTGCTGGGTTGTGTCTTTGCCTGTTCTACTCCTACCACAGCTGTGTGTAGCCTAAGCAAAGGATATGGGGCTACTGCAAGCTGTGTTTCTTTGGCAGGAGACAGAACCAGGGTCGAGACTAAGGTTGCCCTTCTGATAACCTCCAGATGGAGACGGGCTCCTAGTAGAGCACCTGGATAGAGCCCCTTTCCCTTACTTGTGCTGCCTTATTCTGGGACCAATTTGCCTAAAGTCACCCAAGAACACTTTTTCCTCTCCCCTTCCGTACTGGCTGGCAGGGCCGATGGGGCATCGGTGGGACAGCATGCTGTCCTAACCCCATGGAGTGACAGCCTTGGCCTGCTCCGCTCACCAGAAGGAGCACCAAAAAGCACCAGAAGGCTTCAAGCATCCCTAAATACTGTAACTATCACTGCTCACACCGAGGTGCTGCAAATCCGCACGGGGGGCCAGTTGTGAACTGTCACAGCCCAAACTTCACTACCTTTACACTGGCACGAGATGAGGTGCATGCACTGCACAAACACGGCACGAGTGCAGATGCGACAGGCAGTGCCTGAGGATGAGCAGAGCTCAGCAGTCAGCATGGCCGGATGAGCAGACTGCACTGTAAAGCCTTCACAGCTCCTGCTGCAAAGGGCTGGCTCCCCCAGCACCCATGCTACTGGCCTTCAGTGAGCTGGTAACGGATCTGAGCACAGAGCCTTCAAGTACAAGGCTCCATGAAGGAGGCTCCTACAGCTCTTACACCTTTCATTCCATTTCAGACATGTTCTTCTGAGACACCGTCTGGTGCCCACACAAAATACCAGAGTGCTGGGAGAATGCAGTCTGTGTTACTGCCCCAACAGGCTAATTCACAGTGACAGGGATGGCACTACGTCCTGGCCCAGTTCCAGTATTCCACAGCTGTCCTCTGCTGCCGAGGAGACTGCAAGGACCTTCTGACCCTCTCTGTCTGCTTAAGGAAGAATATATGAGCCAACCCGGGTAACTGATGGCTCAGCACAAAAGGTGCAGCCCAGAAGTCACGGAGTGACCGAATGTACCAGTGGTGAATCACGGTCTGAGCTTTGCTGAGCCTCAGAAGTTCAGCAAAAACTCCTCCGAGTGTTCATGCGGCCTGTGAAATAGCTTATTAGGAATAGGCCAAGGCCCAGTGACATAATTTCTCTTACTCACCAGCAGATAGGTGTTATTCCCACATTCAGACACCAGTAACCTGTGATGACTGCCTAGAGATGTTTAGTGGAGTGGAGAAGAGGTTACAGGGGGCAGGTAGATATCAGGCCTCTAATAGCAGATTGTCCCTTTTATCTGCCCTTCTCAAGTGGCTTTCATGTACATCACTATACAGGCCATGATTTCCTTTGGTTTCCTAAATCGTATCTTAATTCTCCAGAGAAGAGCATTTCCAAGACAGAATTGGTGAGAGAAGGGTTGAAACCAGGCCTTTTGGTAGTGCTTTGCGGGTCGTGAACGCAGTTTGTCTGGAAGATGCAGACATCTTCAGGTCGCTTAGCAAGTGTAAGGTGATGGGACTTGGGGTAGTAACAAGGACTGGCTAGTGCCTCTTGGCAGACGCTGCCCTTGCCACAGCCCCTCGGCTTGCAGCGCTTAGCCTGCGCGCAGCAGGTACACTGGCTCGGAGAGCCTGCTCCCATTCCTGCCGCGGGCTTGTTGAACCGTACAGAGGCTGCTGTTTTTCACACGGGTGCAGAGGGTTGCCCTGTCAGAGATCACTGACAACATCTGGAATTTCCTCCCTTTGTATGTTTTTTTTAAGCCCCCAAAAGAGGAATTGTTCCCAGATGTCATGCGTGGTGGCTGTCCTGAGGACAGCGTGAGGAACGCACCGCTGAGTGGCAGCTGGCAACCATGCCACTGCTCATTCTCACAGCCACCCGTGGTGGGTGGCTGTAATGCGAGTGGCTGCTGTGCCTCGGGGAGGGGAGCCCACGCGGAGTCACCCCGTGGGCAGGAAGCGCCCAGTTCGATGTCCCAGCAGGAAAAGCAGCCGGCACTGGCGGCAGAGCTTAGGGCTGTGAAAGCGAACGCAGCTGGGAGGACCAGGCTCGAAGAGCGCCGCGGCCGTGCTGGCACAGCAGCGAAGCACACGGGCTGCCTGTGTTGTCCGGTGCAAAGGGGGCACCTAGGGGCCAGTCTGGAGAACTACTGCTCTCCAAGCAGAACTGCCACGACCCTCCCAGATGGCTGGCCTGACCTCGGCCAGGAGACCGGAGGTTGCCTGGGGGATGAGAGACTTCACTGTGTGCCAACAGGCTAGTCACCTCAGCATCCCCCTGCAGAGATGAGCATAAGGAGGCTTATTCTGAGCAACCCCTGCCAGCCCTACACGCACCAGAGTGCCTAAAGGGTAGTTCAGGTGTGACCTCTGCCTGTGCGGTGACAGCAAAGGCAGAGGCCACTTTGGAAAGTTGTTTGGGCATTGAGTTCTCCTTCAGTCACTGTCCTAACCACAGAGGCACACCACCCACCACGGTGAATATGCCCAACAGTCAACTGTGCTCCTGGTCGGAACGTTACCAGTTCAGGTCAAGGCAGCAGTGGGGACAGCAAACATTCCCCCGTGAAGCCTTTCTCCTCTGATCCAGCACAGCTCCTTTCCGTCCTCGCTGTGCATGGCCCTGACTGCTCTGCTATGTTTCATTCCCAGCTCCTGCTCGGAACGGGATGACTGGTACAGCTGCATCAGCAGACACATCCCGGAGGACGACACAGCTCACACCACTCCCACTTTCCACAGGAGCGTGGAGGTAAAAGGAGAGCCAGTCTCTCAGTGCTTGCAAGGGGATGGGGGAAGGGAGAGAAAGAGAGAGAGAGGAAAGGAAAAGGGTTATACGCCAAACACTTCCTTGTTTCAGGACTTTCCTACTCTTTGCCTTTAAGCCACTATGCCAAGCTTAAGCACTGGCACAGCTCATGGCCCGCCCCTGAAACGCTCATCACACCCTGTACTCTCTGCTCTTTGCTTAAAGGGCAGCTCTGCTGGAGGAAGAATGTGTTGTCCCAAAGGACAACAATTTTGAATGAACAAAAAATAGCTGCAAACTTCATGGGTTTTAAGAAAACAACCCCACCATTGGTTACAGCAATATCTCACACACAGCACAGGCACTGCCAGCGCAGCCCCACAGGCACCAGCCCAACTGTGCCACCATAACTGGGCTGTAGTGGTGGTGTCCCACTGCTTGCAGCTGTACTACTCCCAGGGAAGAAGGCAAGGAATGCCTCTGCCAGGAAGACGAAATGCAGCTTTAGGGTATACAGAACCCCAGTTTTACTACAGAAGAGTAACTGGGGGAACAAAGCATGCTGGTGAGGGCACAGCAAAGTGCCATGTCCGGAACTGGGCTCCCCAGAACAAGAGAGACACGGGCACCTGGAGAAGAGTCTAAGGAAGGGGCACAGCAACATCTGTCCTGTGAGGAGTGGCTGAGAGAGGTGGAACTGTTCAGTCTGGTGAAGAGACGGCTCAGGAAGGTCTGATCAATGTGTATCAGTACGGGGCTACACAGAGGATGGGGCTGGGCTCTTCGCAGTGGTGCCCAGGACAGAACCAGAGATGATGGGCACAAACTGACACGCAGGAGGTTCCCTCAAACATCAAGAAATACTTTTTCCCTCTGAGGTGACTGAGCACATGCACAGGGAGCCCAGGGAGGTTGCAGAGTCACCATCCTTGGAGTGACCCAAATGCCACCTGGACACAGTGGCCCTGGGCAGCCAGCTCTGGGAAGCCCTGCCTGAGCAGAGTGGCTGGAGCAGATGACCTTCACAGGTCCTCTCCAACTTCAGCCATCTGGGGGGTCTGTGATTTCGTTTTTGAAGACTTCAGAAAGTAAAAAAGTAATTAAAAAAACAGGACAGGACTTTCCTTCAGGCTTGACGCTAGTCTACTTTACAATATTTAACAGGGAAAAAAGTAGCAAGTAGTTAGCATAGCCACCGAAACCAAGGCCTTTCTCAGCAAATGAAACCACAATTTGTTTTGAAGCTCTGCCTGAGATGTAAACCTGAACGTGTGCACAGAGAAACGTGGAGGAATTTGATTTTTTGATGTTTAAACCGTGTTTGTCTGCAGAGGAGTTTCCTTAGAGGAAACCCTCCTAGCAAAGCGTGTCCTTCAGAAGCACGAGTGTGTGTGCTACTCGTGCCAAAGACTGAGTGGCTGTGTGTGGGCAGCGGGGTCCCCGTGACACTGTGGTGCTGAGCCCGACGTAGCACAGCTTCTCAGCACGCCTTATTAGATAGGGGCCAGTTCCACACTGCCCTGGGCAGGGAGCACAAGCACCTATGAAGCACTGCGGAGTGCTGCATTTTCTGAACCTGCTCTATATAGCCAGCTCAGCCATGGGAAGCAGGGATCGCATCTGGATGGCATGCCAACAAAGCAATCTTTTACTGTTTTACTGTTTTCTGCCCATTTCTCTTCCCTGTCCCAAGGTATAAGGACATAATGAGCTCCGGTGCTCTTCCACTGGAGCCTGTAAATCCTTTTACAGATACTCTTTCAGAAGCTGTTCATCCAAAGATGGCTTTAATTTAAAGTCACAGAATCATAGAATCATAGAATGGTTAGGGTTGGAAAGGACCTTAAAGATCATCTAGTTCCAACCCCCCTGCCATGGGCAGGGACACCTTGCACTAGACCAGGTTGCTCAGAGCCACATCCAGCCTGGCCTTGAAGACATCCAGGGATGGGGCATCCACAACATCTCTGGGCAACCTGTTCCAGTGACTCACGTTCTTGCCTGCAACTGGCATACACAATGAATCAGCTCCTTGTCCGATGTGGAGGAGTGTCAGTGCCTGAGCAGGAACAGCTCTACATGCACTTCTACCTGTTGGGACTGGCTTTAACAGCACCACAGGCTGGTTGAGCAGTCCTTCAGTGCTGAAGCATCTGTATTTCACTTCCAAGGAGCCTTAGGAAGTAGAAAAGGTGGGGATCTTAGCAGGTGAAGGAAGACTGAAACGAGAGGAGAATTTTATGTGATGGAGAAGGGCTGACTGAGTGGACTGGGGAAGTGTGGATGCTTCTTCATTTGCTCTTGTTTGCTTTTAAGCTAAGGGAAAGGCTTGGAGTACCCTTGGGCGAGAGGCCTCCCACCCTGGTACCTGTGTCCCACGCGATGATGTGCATGAACTGCGGCTGTGACTTCACCCTCACTTTGAGGCGACATCACTGCCATGCCTGTGGGAAGGTAAGAGCTGTGCCGACCTCTCAGGGTGGCTTTATCCACAGCCCGAGGACACTGCCTGCCGCGGCTGTAACTATTGCAAACTCCTGCCCACAGCAAGGCCAGAATGTGACTTCTCACAGAACCCGCCAGTGCTTGGCTAAATTAGGTCATTAAGTTTGTAATGACTCTAGTAAGCACAACAGGAACCTTCCCTTGAGGGTCAGACTCATTCCCAGAGGTGAGCAGTTGAAGGTTTAGAGGGTAATTGTTTAATTACAGGAAAAAAGTCTGTGCTGCACTGCAGAGCTGCTGCCCTCACCCTAAAGCCAAGGGGATCTCTAGGCTTCCTTGGTGTGTTTCTTCACCGCCGACCCTAGAGACTTGTTAATGCACATAAACCCTCTGACCCATCCTAAGCCATGGCCATACTTCTGTTGGTATCACAGTACCAGCAAGTTTATCTATGCTTTTTCCTCATTGCCCAGAGGAAATCAGCCTGTGCCTCTGCTGGGAGAGCAGGCGCATGGCACCTTGCTGAAGAGCACAGTGTCACTCGGGAAGCTGTGAAGCCAGCAGTAACATTGCAGTGCTCTTTCTGCAAGTCACTGGCAGGAGAGGTGCAACGTGTTGGGCGATGGGCGCAGCACCGGGGCGCAAGCTAATGCAGCGCTCAGTTCCGTGTGGCCCACAGGAGGCTCAGTGTGCAGCAGTCACAGTTCCCTCGCAAACTCACCCTGACAGCAACAGTTTCAGGAGAGTTCTACTGGGTCCACTGTCCACCTTCCTCTCCAAACCAGCTCAGAGGACTCATTCTGTATGTGCATATGTGCCAGTTTAAAGTACTATTACGTGCATCTCTCCTTGCTGGACAGATTGTATGTCGAAACTGTTCGAGAAACAAGTACCCTATGAAGTACCTCAAGGATCAAACTGCCAAAGTCTGTGATAGCTGCTACGTGGAACTTAAGAAAAGGGGTAAGATTTCTTTAATCTGGGCAAACCTGGCAAACCCATTTCCTGCCTGCATAGTAGAGAGGCTGTGGGATCTACCTCCCATGGTATGTTCTGCTGTAAAGGATGTCTCCTTTCTAGCATGAGGTTTGTGTACTGGGTCCCGAGAGCACCAGGCTGCATGGCAGCTGAAACTGCTCACACACGGCAGGCTCTCCAAGGGCTCTCCTGGCCTTCTGACACACACATGAGCACCAGCTCCGGGTTGGTCTAGTTGGGAGCAAGGGAGGCTGAGGGGCGACCTCATGGCTCTCCGCAGCTTCCGGAGGAGGGGATGTGGAGAGGGAGGTGCCAGGCTCTTCTTCCCTGAGATCCAGTGACAGGACACAGGGGAATGGTTCAAAGCTTCAGGGGAGGTTCTGAGCTGGCATGAGGAAACATTTCTGTACTCACAGGGTGATCAACCACTGGAACAGGCGTTTTAGAGAGGGGGTCCTTGCCCCAACCTGTCAGTGTTTAAGGGGCATTCAGCCAGTGCCCTTACTAACAATGCTGTAACTTGTGGGCAGCCCTGAATGCACCAGGCAGTTGGGCTAGATCGCTATAGGTTCCTGTTTCCTGCTAACCGACCTCTGCTATTCTGGGATGGAATTACAGGTGATGATCTTCCCTGCCGTTTCTAATTAATTACCCAATACAGTAAAACAAGGGCCTCACAGTTCCACATCGTCCCCAGTCATGCCGTAGCTCTTACAGAAAGCAGTGCTGAGGTGAAATGCAGCGTCACCAGGAGCTTTTCTCCCCAAGGAGTTAGTCAGAGGAAACAGATCAGAGGAAACACCAATTCCCAGCAGAAGAGCTACTGCCCAGCTAGAACTCTGCATTACTTCTCTCCTGTACCAGTCCCTTTTCGGACCAAAATACACATCCAAATGCAAGCACAAAGGGAGGGCAGGCAGGGCTTACAGGTGTGTGAGCGGAGAACAAACAGGAAATAAAGTTCTTGCACAACTATTTCTGCAGACAATATCTAAAAGCGGGCACATCATACTGGCAAGGGTGTGAAGGTGGGGACAGATGAAGTTTCGCTCTTCCATCCTGATTAAAGACACTAGCCAAGAACACGTGAACGGATGCTGTCACAACAGCCAGAACAGCATCCACGGCCACTGGTGTGCGAGAGGCGTTGACTCTGGTTTGTGCTGAGCTTCACTAAGAGCTTCCAGTGCGTTGCCATAAGTGAGAGCATGACAATAGGAACTCAGATGAGTGCCGTTGATGGGGAATAAGAGACCAAGTAGCGCATTCATGTGCAGAACTCACGAGTGCATACAGAAAGGAAGTCCCACTAGTGGATCTGTCCTGCAGAGGGGTTACAGAACAGAGGGGACAGGTGGAGAAGCCATTTGCCTGATGCTCATTTTGACCAATAAGCAAACAGGCTGTGTTTCGTGCTTCGTCAGCTTTCTGGCAGCCTTCTTTCAAGCAGCTGCAGGTTATTACCAGGCTGTGAAATCCAGGCAGCTAACCAGACTTCAGGGGGTGATTTGAAAGAAGAGTCCAACCAAAAACCAGCTATAGAGGAGGCGCTGCGTTTTCCTGAGTGTACGTGCACCAGTGTATTGCACGTGCCTTCCCCCAGTCTGACACGTACCGATTCATCCATTTCCCCCTTCCCTTTCTGAATTTTCTTCACCTTGCAGAGCGGCCGCTAAGTGTGAGCTTCCCTCCAACTTCATCCAGGTGCTCAAGCAGTGCCTTTGCCTCTGTCTTCCACAATATTCATTATTCATCTTTTAAGAAGCAGAAGAAGATCCCTTCAGCTCTTACAGAGGTAGGCCTGAGACAGCCAAGGAGCTGTAGAGCAATGCATGCTGACATCTGAGCAGCTGCTTATTCTTCTGCGGGCAGAGGGCTCAGCCCAGGCCCTGCTCTACTTTCACCACCCAATTGTTTCTTTCTGGGTTTCACAACAGGGTTTAAAATACAAAATACTCTGAGCACTGAAGGTACCGCAGCAGCTCCTTGAACCCACTGACAAACCCAGTTAGAGCAGTAGACTTTAATTTGCTCACCAGTCTGTCAAGGCTTTGGAAAACTAAGATGACTTCAAGGCAGTAGATAGTACACCAAGGCAGATGGCAGAGACTGACAGGTATCCAGGGAGCGTGATACACTTGAGCAGTTGTCTTTCTTGACAAGGCCTGTACTACTGAAACCTAAGGTTTCAAGGGGAAAGAAAAAGCCCCTTACTTAGGGAACAGACCCGAGGCCTTGGCAGTCCATTCAGGAGCACACGTGGGTAATCAGGCACTTTCCCTCCAGCTCAAGACAAACTATTTCAGATCAAATGAGTCAAATCTTGGTCCCCCCAAAGTAAACAAAATTCCCACCATTTCAATGGGGCCAGGACTTCTCCAGCTCTATTAATTTTCTTTCTAGGAACACGGTGCCAGTCGTAGTTGAGGTAGCTAAGTTGCCCACTGAACCCAGCCAGGTGCTCCCACTGCACTGCAGTCAGCAGGTACTTATCCTCCGATTACAGAGAACAGGGGGCACACATCTCACTGAACTCACAGTACAGTTGAGACACTGGAATTTCTTCAGGAATTTCCAGTGCTGCGGTGAAACCGAGCCAAAAATACAAGCACATCACACCAACACACAAACCGAGTACTGAAAGAACCCGTGGGCAAGATGTACGCCTCGCTGGGCATAAGGCCCTGCTTTCCAGCCAGGTGGAGGCAGCACGTTTGTTCATACCAACGGCCTCACACAGCACGTCTCCGTAACTTCCAGACTGCTTGGCCCAGGCCCCGGGGACCCCTCTTCTGATGTGAAACACTGCTGCATTACCGATGAGCCTTCTCTGCGGTCAGTGCTCAATGGCTGGGCCTGAATCCCTGCCCTTTGTCCCTGCAGCCAATGCTGTGGCAGTTCACTGCTGTAGCTAGACTTACGCTGTGGTGTGTGTGCTTACAGCTCCCTGCCTCTCCAAGAACACTGGGCACTTAGATCTCCAAATACTTTGGGGTGGGGGGGTAGCTTTCCTCAGGTACATTCTTTTGCAAACGAAACCAAGTCATAGCCAAACGATTACCATACATTGATATAAAACGACTGCATACGTCTTTAAAGTGTTCAGCCACAAGACTGATTCCCTCTTGGAATCTTGCACTTTTAATGTACCAAAAAACAGATTTGGGAAAACAGACAAGTTTTCAGCAAGAAAACGGCTCCTCGGAACACAGCTGTAAACTTGCTGACCTCAGCAATAATTCAGCTGCGTGTTTACTGTGCACTAAGTTTACCCAGAACCTTCAAACAGTTAAAAAGAGCCGTAATACCATGCTTAGATGGTTTTTGTCTTGCTATTTGTAATGGTCTGCTTACGGTGTCATGGATGCAGACCTGGCTGGCTGCTGTGATGTGAACGTGCATACTCAGGAGGGGAAAAGCCTTTGCTGTTACAAATCCCGGTTTCTCCTACCCCCGCCAGGTTGCAGCCTCAGGAGAGGGAGCTACCATCAGTGGTTACCTCAGCAGATGTAAGAGAGGCAAGAGACACTGGAAGAAACGCTGGTTTGTCATCAAAGGCAAAGTCCTCTACACCTACACAGCAAACGAGGTACTGTGCACTCCGACCTGAACCACTTCCCTATGCCAGTCCCTTTCTTCACTCCCTGCAGGCAGCAGCAGTAAGCCTGAAAGGTGTAAACGGCAGTTGTGACAAGTACCTGCCTCCCAGGACCGGGCCCCAACAGTGTCCCCAGGCAGCTGGCCGCAGGCCCAGCACAGCCCCAGCGCGACCTAGCAGTCCTCTCCACAAACCGCCCACCTGTGTTCCACCTCCTGCCACTGTAAACTGTCATCCCCGCGACTCTGGCTCCACAGACTGACACCTCAGGGCCTCAAGGCCCTTAGGTGTTCCCTGCTGCGGCTGAGTTGTAGAGAGACGGTGCTCTGAGCCATTTCTGGGGGGGGAGGAGAGTCTTGTGGTTTTGCAAGGGTAAATAGGACCTGTTTCTCCTACTAGTGCAAGAGGGAAAGACAGGAGGCAACCTGCAGGGGTGAGAGCAGCAGCCTGCATGCTCCTCCCTACAGCCCAGGGGGCTGGGCATCCCTTTTCTAATTTGAATTTCTTCCCTGTGAACAGTGCAACACAAATAAACTTGAACTAAGCAGGATGTCAAGGGGGTTGTACCTGACAGACTTCAGAAGGAGAAGCACAAAAACTCATGTTGCTGAACAATGGGCACAGGACACCAGAACTGTCATAACAGCAGTGTTTGGTACTTGATGCTTCAGAACACTTGGCAAACATCAGTTATGTAAACCTTCATCACCACGGTGACGATTGCATGAGGCAATGTTATCCCCCTTAAGCAGATGAGGAGATGGAGGCACCAAAGAGTGCATGATTTGAGCAGGCGTTCAGATGATCAGCGTCCAATTCGGTACCAACTATGTGTCCCTTACCTCTGCGAGCCTTATAGCGAGCGTTTCCAGTTTAGAGGCAGGGAAGAGCAATGGCTGCTAGGGACACTTTGCATTCCCAGTCTGCAATGTAGCTTCCAAAAGCAGAGGCAAAGGCAACACAGAACTACAGACAATGTTACCTAAACAGGGTGCCCCAACCTGCAGCCATCAGAACAGCTAAGCTGCAAATCGAGCAGGGCTTAGCGTTTCCTTTAGCTTGTACGATACACTGTCTGGCATGCAAGATTCAGGAATGTTTCTTGGGCGCAAATTAGCAATTAATGGCATTACCAGCTCAGGAATTGCAAAGCAGCATTTAGGAAAGCAGACGTGCTGTTCAGACAGCATTGATTTCTAAAAAAGTTGCTGGCGCTACGGAAGAAAACGACAGGGTACCAAAGACTGCTATGTGCAGTCCCCAAACACAGGTGGTTGGAAACACCACCCCAGGAGTGCATCTCAGGCTGTCAGACCAGCTGCTCTCCTGCCCCACATGCCCAGTCCCCGCCAGTTTACCTGTTGGACCGTTATGGCAAAGACAGCCCTTGAAGTACCGGCTAATTTGAGCTCTATGGCCACGTGGATAATCACGAGGCACCGGACTTCAGAAGTGATGTTTGAGTTCAGGACAAACGTGTGCAGCACACAGGCATCGCTCCTACTGGGGTGTGAGCCCCCAGTCCAGGAGGAGGGTAACACTGCTGCCTTTGCAGTCCAGCCAGGGAGGGGTGCCGCAGCATCTCATTCCCAGAAAGAGCCCTCCAGCTGCTACAAGCCTACTCTCTAAACGTGGATTCACTTCTTGTTTGCTTTCAGGACAAAGTTGCCACAGAGAGTTTGCCTTTGTTGGGTTTCACCATTGCCCCAGAAAAGGAGGAAGGAAGCACGGATGCAGTTTTCCATCTCTACCACAAGCAGACTCTCTTTTACAGCTTCCGAGCAGAGGACAGCAATTCAGCACAGAGGTACGGGGGGAGACCTCAACACTAGGCACCACGCAGGCTCGGGGCTGAGGTGGGGCTCTTCCCGATCCTTTGCTTCATGACCGTAAGGGAGGAGGCAAACCCCTTTCGGAGTGCTGATAGAGCCCAACTGCATGTGACTGGCCCGGGGGATGGTAAAAGTCTACCTGGTGCCGTTCAGCCCTCCCCGAACGGAGAATTTCCTCCCTCGCCCAGGTAACACAAGGCTGAGTCTCCAGAGTCATGGCTAGCAGTTTGTGGAATGGAATTACTGTGCAGGAACGGCCAACTCAGGTGTTCTAGGTGTCCCCCTCAGTTTCCTCTTCAGCAAATAATGGTTTACCTTTCCCATTCTACTGCTACCACATGACAAAATCCGCCCAAAATCAGTCCTACGCATGCCAGCACCTCAGGACACACAAGGCAGGAAATGAGTGTTTATGGGAGGTTTTGCTGCTTTGAAACATTGGTCAGGGCTTTTGTTTCTCCTGTTCTAAGACAGCACTGTAGCACCCTGGAGATTTGACAGTGAATTCCTGGTAAAGGTTGTCCTTGCACTACAGGGCCCTAGCACCCAGCTCCCTGCTTTCATTACAAAAGCACAGTTGCTCATGAGAGCTGGGCCAGGAAGTACAGCCCTCCTCAACCTTTACAGACTGAGAATGCTTACTTTTCCCAAAACACAAGTTCTTGAAATGCATGTAAGAGTATATGTACCACTGTTTCTTTCCTGGCTTTTGTAGGTGGATTGAAGCCATGGAAGAAGCATCCGTATTATAGCACCTATCACTCAATGGACTTGGAATAAATTTTGCAATTTCTAGACATTCCCAAAAACCCTCTTCTGTCCCACAAAACTGGGCAGTGATGTCGCGCAAACTAGCTACAGATGCTGGGCAGGAGGTGTTCGCAGCCGGCTCTTTGTACTTCCTTCCTACAGCCACGTTTGCAAACGGCAAATAGAGTATTTATGGCGATCTCCTGGCTGTGCGAGGTCAGACTGTGCTATACGCTTCTCCTGTGATCCCACCCCAAACTGCTTCTGATGCGAAGACCAGAAAATACACGGACATACTGACGACAGCAAGAACAGGCTCAGTTCTACTCACTCTATAGAGCATGATGCTGTCTCCCGGGGTTGGCTTTGATGTCTACCATGAAACAAGAAACAATATAGTAAACAACAAATGCTCATTTAAAGCACTTTATTACTTTTATGGAACTACAGCTTCATTTTTTCATGTTTGTAAGGAGTTTTGTGTCTTGATTTCTTACTCATCCGTTCCCAAGCGCCAGCGTGAAATTATGCCCTGCGTATGCTAAACTGCCCCCAGAGAAAAGAAATGAGGAGCGCGTTCCATTTACCTGGTGTACCTGCCCCCCGCTGCCAGCGCCGCAGGACAAGGGCTTACTGCCGTTTCCCATTTCATACAGGTCACTCTATAACCACGGCAAAGGGTTCAGTGTCACAGCACTGCCATGCTCCGAAACGCATGCCAGTAGCACTGCAAATCCAGAGCTTGAATCCTATCCCTCCTCCCCAAATACTGCCTCTGACTCCAACCCCCAGGTTGGTGCTAATTTATTATCAACCTGCAGACAGTTTTTATTTCACACCACTCTACTCAGTAGTGTTGGGATTGTTATCCTCTATTTAAACAGTCTGGATTTTCAAAGCTCTCGTCCTTTCTACTGTTCTCCTTATGGAAAATGTCGCTGAGGGTGTAAGGCGCACAGCCGGCACACCGTTGGAAACACGCTGGGAGGCTGAATCCGCTCCACTGCAGCGCTTCCAAAGCCCCGGGGCCAAAGCCACCTCCCACCAGCCTGCTGTCCTGCACCGCATCTCCAGGGCTGGATTCTCAGCAGCAAGCGTCCGTGTGCCTGCAACAACGCTGCGCTGCTTTGCACCAGCTGAGGACCCACATCTCTGGGGTTCGGGCCTTTTTTTGGGGGGGGGGGTGGGGCAGGTGGGGTCTTTGTGTGTGTGTGTGTGCGTGTTTTGCTGGTTGTTAATAAGGAGGTTGTGAAGCAGTTCTAATCACTGCAATAACATGGTTTCGTGTCCTGTGTTTGTCCCAAGATTTGGCTGAGGAACGGAACGGCATTTACGATTACAATATATCTTTGTACACAAATACACTGCTCAACAATGTACTGCCATTGCAATATACTGAGGGGGAGGAGGGTTACTACTTTCTTTTTCTCTTTCTTCAAGAAGCTGGAGCGATATCTGAATTTCTGACCCTAACAGACTTTTTACAATTGTCTGTATATTTAAAGGTCTGTAATACGTATCCCAAGGATAAAGGTAGTTCAATTTCGCACCTGGGAAAAAAAGCTTAGACAAACAAATACACATCTGCCACTACACAAAAATGTAGTTGTTTTGGGGTTTTGTAGACATCAGAGTCTGACAGTTTCATACAGCACGTTAGCACAAGTAAACAGACACCAAGTGTGAGACCAGTAAAGCTTCTGTATTCTTTCATTTCACGTTGGAACCTCGGCCTTGGTACCAATACCCTGTACACATTTATCCCCCCTAAAAACATTCTGCACTGACAAACTGGCAAGAGAATGTTGAAGGCAGAGTAAGACCCCTAATCCCGGCCACGGCAGAAGTGCCCTACAGAGCAACAGTGTTCCGGAGATTTAGGTGCTGGCCCATAGTGACTGTCGTAGGAAGGTTTCAGTTATACACAGGAAATGAATACATAAAAACATTTTGTTGTAAAAAAGATACAGCACTATAAAACGTTGTTTTGGGTAACGTGGAAAAATAAAAGAGCAAAACGTAACTGCCCTTCTACAGGCTTTTCCTTTACCTACTTGTACCTTGGATGATTCCAGCTTTGCCATTCCCGTTCCTGGGAACGGACACCCATTACCTAAATCCCTGAGAAGCTAAGGAAGAGCATCACGTCGGAGGATGGCAGTGGGGGCCTTCGGGTAGAAACAGGATGCAGACCCAGTTGCTGTGATGCAGTGTTTCAGCCCACACCACACTGGCCTCCCGCACAGCCTGCCTAGCAGTCAGCTCTATGCCGGCTACAGACGGCCGTGGTCTGGGTACAGCACAAAGAACGGGAAAGACACAGACATGTCCTCACAGTTTCAGTCTGACTGTGAGTCTGATTTGAGCAAAGCTAAGCACCAAAACTGGAAGTTGTCTTCATTGCAGAGTTGATCCAGCAGTCCCCTTTCCAAAAAGTCTAACTCCTTAGAACAGAGGTGCATAGCAACTCAGTTTACGACCTGCCAGTTACTTGCAAACAACTCTTTCTTCCTAAGCTGAGACCAGTCCAACTCTTGTATCTCAGAACACTTTGGCAGGACAGCACTACACAATCTCATTTGGTTTATTTTCAAATTACTGTGAAAAACATCCCACAGGGTATCCACAGGCTTTGCCAGATAGAATATATAGCTCTTATTATTGCATTTTCATTTCCAGTACCACTCAGAGGAAAACTGTACCTGTGAAGCATTACGCAATGTCGCCTCCCAGATCCAGCCATTGGCAGCATCCAAGACAATGCACAATTACTGGCAACATTCCCAACTACACAGAATTTTGCTGTGACTGGACCACTGGTCTCAGTGCAACACCCTGCTCTCAAAGTATCTCAGACCTTTGTCTTTAACCACGAAACAAGCCGTGCATGCTCCAAAGCACAGTGACATAAACAGACAACCCCCCTTTCTGTGGGCTGCCAGACCCACTGGGCTCCAAAGCAAGCCACCCTCAGTGCCACATCCTCCCACAGTGCAATCCTCCGGAGTTAAACCACGACAGGCACCTAGAGGAGGGGGCCCTGCTGACGCAGGCTGGGCACTCGCTACACAGCCACCTTGGGGGACAGTGACCTTCCTGGTCAGCAGTAACAGAACAACTACAGGAGTGCAAAGAAACGCCAAAACACAGGTACCTAGGGAAGTTGTTCTGGGGAGTCCTTGGGAAGTCCTGGCTCTTGCTGTACAGCTGATCCGAATTTCAGTCGACTCTGAATCCTGACATCCAGAGATCTGGAAAGTACAAATGAACAGGTTAACAGTCCATAGCTACGAAAATGCTGCACCTCCTTTTAAGAAGTGTGGGCACAAGAATTTCCTCATGGCCAGAAGCAAATCAATTTAAAACGGATTTTATTACCCAGGCTAACTAACATACTACTTCCCTAGAGAACTCAATCACCACTGTAAGAGATTTCCGTATCAAGCAGCAATGTAACTGCAAGTATCGTCATCTGTGTTCTCCCCGGTGATGTATGTTGGCTGTCCTGCTCATGAACACAGCTCTCCAACTCAGTGGTGGTGGTGTTCTCCAGTTCACTCAGCATGGGACAACCCCTCGTTGTGGCACGCACAACTGCACGTAACCGCTGGCGAGAAATACCACTTCTTGTCAGGGTAGTGGTCTTCTCTGACCACCAGACTGAAAACCTTCCCTACCTCACACCATGAACACAGCTGGTGGGAAAAAAACTAAATTCAAGGGTAAAAATATTCAGGATCCGATTAAGACATTTTAGGATAGCAAGAAAGGACAAAACTAAAGATGCCTTTGGGATTTGCTGACAACCATGACCCGACAGGTGCACACCTCCCACCTTCAAGCCAGACAAGCAGCAATGTATTCCCTTGGGTCATTTCACTTCAAAGGTGGTGGTGGTTCTGCCAAATCCTCTATTTAAAAAAGCATGCTGTGTGCATAGATGCTGCTCCACAAGTCACCATCCTTGATTTACAATAAGGGAAACACATCCCTACCCTAACAGCCAACCTACTTCCACAGTAAGGCTACTGTCAGAAGTCTCCGAGTCCTTCAAGGCATGTGTGTTCCAAGAATGTACGTACACTTTAGCAGTATGTTTTATGAAGTAAAAAATCTGCCTTTCAAGGAATGTGCACATCCGTATTTTGAGAATTGGAAAATTCTTCACATATTTCACATGGCAGTGGTGAACCCAAGGCCTCTTTTTGCATATTCTCCTTCATTTCTGTATTGCAAACACATCCATATGACATGCGCTTCCGTGTTCTTAGCTCCAGGTTTGTGACTCTCAGCCGTGCTCATGGGCACAGCTCTTCATCTCTTATATCCCTGCCCCGAATACCTCATTCTAAACCAAACTCGAAACAAAACGGAAACAAAACCAAAATAGACTCACAGAAGATCCAAGCGCAACAAAACTCAGTTCAGAGAGCAGCTCGTGCTGAAGCGACTGTGGCCTCCAGCTGCCCTCCCTTCACACGTTCCTCTCAGCTGTTACTATCACTGCACATCCACCCGAGGTACCACTCAGCTGCCCGCTCCTCAGGCTCTTGCCAAAACGCCGATCTTCAGAGACCCTTTCCAGCCTTTGCCAGGGGCAGGTTAAGACACGGCAGTACCACGGACTGGAGTGCGGGGTCACCACGGGCCGGGCTCAGACCTGGTGCCACACACGGAAAGCCGGTCACCTCTCAAACGGCCCCAGCTGTGCCCAAAGCTGCCCAGGCCCAGTCCCACAGCGGGAGGCGGAACCCACCTCCCTCACAGCCGGCCCCACCAGGACGGAGCTCAACTGCCAGCCTACCTTGGCCTCTGCACAGCGGGGGAGGGCCCTGACGGAGGGGGTACGTCC